AAATACGCGCATCTCACATTACAAGAGTATATTAGTATTCACATTCATGTTCAGTTAGTCAACAAATTGATTTGAGATTTATATGCAGAAGAAGTAGTAGTAATAACAATAATAATAATGCTGTATTATCATAAATACAAATTGTTATGCACAGTCATGTTAAAACGGGGAGAGAAAATCGGTAAAAGCCCCCGATGGTTTTCCCGTTTGGAGCCTTTTCGCGCCCAAACACGCGACTGTGAAGAATATGGCTTGTAGTTAGGAGTTGCTTTAATAATTAATTGGGACTATTTTCAAAAAAAAAAAAAAACACACACACACACAAGTACTGTTGTAGATTAAAAAGAGGAGTGAAAGGGGGAGTGTGATTTTTTTTTTTTAATGTGTTTTTCCCAATAATGCCACAGTTGAGGTTTTATAAAACTGTTGTTCACAAAACAATCATTTGTGGGCATCAGGGAACGAATATGATGAAAATGCGAAGCGGGCAGCGAAGTCCATGAGCACGAGGAATACAAGTGTTTTAATATCAACACTTGCTATCAAAAAATGTTTCGACATTTCCCTGCACTTATATCTAATTAAATGACAAACTATACAGCACAATTTAACTTTGAAATCCCATGTTCAGAGGTATAAAAACTAACTACAAATGCTGTTATCTACACTCTACAAGACAGAAGGCAGGGCCCTGTCAAATAATCAGACGAGTTACTGAAGCTCTATTTTCCCCACCTCAACCTGGCAGCCTACCCTTCTTGTTGGATGAAAATCCTGGTGCTCCAGTGAGAGAGACGACTTGAACAAGTAGCAAAGCAATTGTGAAATTGCTGGCAAGTGATGCAATGTCAGGTACCAGCCGCTGCTTCTTCACCGCTAAAGAAGCTGTACAAGTCACTGGATATGGCTACAGCACTAGAAGAGACAGCCAAGACAATCATCAACCATGATAATAGCTTGTCCTTCTTTGCTGCCACTCCATGTGTGTCCCTGCCAAATCAAGGGTCATTTAGGAAATGACAGAAAATGAACATGCATTCGCAGCATGCAATAGGATTTAACTAGCCATTGTCACTTAACTACCTGAGAGCTATAGCAGCGGGGAATATGAATCCAGCACCAACGGCTGCAGTTGCGCCAGTGAACTGGAAGGCATCCCAGATGCTGGGTACAAAATTGGCTCCAATGAAAATGAAAGACATGAGAAATACAGTCACTGAATAGAATCTCCTGCTGTCAAATGCAATGGGAATGGCATGTGGAAACAAAAGACCATCTAGGTTGAGGCGAAGGGAGTAAAACACAATGGGAAACACCAGCATAAGGTGAATCCCATAGCTCACTCTAACCACATCATTAAGAAATGAGCCAAAAGGAACTCCAAGGTCGCCATCAAAGTTAGCAAGCACATCATCCTGTGTTTTATCCCCAAACAACAAATATCCAAAGAGGCTGGTCACCGTATACACAGCCGAGCATAATGAAGGGATGTCCGAACTATCAACTTCATATGGGCAGGGTCTTTTAGTTCATTCTCTATAGGGTGAACTGCATTGCAAAATATAAAAAAGGAGCGATCATAACAGAAAAAGCCATAAAGTCTAATGCTAGCCAATAGTATGGTGACAAATACAACCATCAAAGAACAATTATGCATTTACACGCAATGATAGCACATTCCTGAATATACCTGAAAAATTCAACGCCTCATTGACAAGTGACGACAGTAATAGCCCCAAATCAATCAATTCAAACTCTGAATTGTTGAAAACAGAACGAAGGATCTGTCGCAGTACAGTACTTGGTACTCACCATTATGATGGCAGATGTAAGCTGTGACTAGAATAGGGATCGTTGTGAAAAGCTTCCAAAAGGATTCTTGGCCAGTGAATTTTGGCATTAAGCGTGGCGTCCCAATGCTTCCATTGATAAACTTAACAATTACTACGCCTGCTGTTATCGCCACAAAAATAACAGCTAACCCCACTGACAATGCTGAGGTGTATCTCAATGAATCTGATACAACAAATTAAAGTTCAAACAAATTCAACAAAATATAATAATGCTCAAGAAACAGGGTAAAATTATAAACATAAGCTTGTAGAAGCAGTGAATCATAAAGGGTGCAACAAATATTTGGCAAAATTGGTGCAAGAAATAGCTAAAGCAAGAAAACCATTATACTATTATTGCGAGATAGTTTATAACCTTGATCTATCAGCAAGCAAGAAATTTCATAAGCCCACATAAAATTTAGTGAGTATAATTTGTTATTCACAAAAGGCATAAACACACAAACTTGGAGTCCCATAACATACATCACTTGAGTCCTTTCAGTTCAAGTTAGAGAAGAAGACAACAGCATATCATGTCACTCCATAGGTCAGTCAATCACCAGGAGGTGGTACTAATATATTCAGTTTAACTGGGGTATGATGCATTGTGGTACTAATATATTCAGTTTAACTGGGGTATGATGCATTGATATTTTCAATTAAGGGTGAAAAAATTGATCTTCAATTATCGAAGCAACGGGACATATTCAAGGATCGATGCTAGTGCACATGCCAGGGTCCAAGTGCCAATATGTAGGCGCAGGTTCTAGGAACAAGTCAACAAGGTATATTAGAAAATAGTGCGCATTGAAAGACCATATATCCATGAAACAAGAAGTTTGACAGGAGAACAAGAGTGAGAGGAGACGCACCCACGCGCTTGAATGATATAAGAGGGAGGAAGACCAAAAGGGTCGTGAGCATCAGTAAGACGGAACGCGTAGACCACCAACGTTGACCAAACCATTCTTCAATCACCCCTGAATAGTGGACCCCTTCAGACCAAGTTCCCGATAACACATCTCCTGTAACCATGCAATCAATTTTCTTAGTTTCAATCAGATGGCATCCGGTGATGTTAACGCATATGTGATATAAGGCAATTATGAACCTGTAGAAAGAAAAAAGGAGACCATACACATTTTTTTCCTTAGCATTCCAAAGGCCAAATACGAGAAATGAATAGAGTAGATTGTTCCCCGTCCTGGGGCAAACAATGACAGAGTAATCCCAATCCAGCTTTACCAAACCGAAAATAAAATTTTCGGGCAAAGAAAAAACTCAAATAAAAATATCACAGAAATCCATTTTTTCCTCCTCCAACTTGTCGGGAAACAGACTAGAGCTTAACCGTTAAAGTGATGACCTAATGGCCTGGGAACCTCTCACATTTCCCGAGAAAGACTCCACCTTTAGTATCGGTTATTGCAGAGTCCCAAAATTGTGTTCAAAGAGTCTAGGGAATGAATCCAAAATCGATTTAGAAATAGAATTGCCCTCTTTGGAAGAAAGGAATATTTAATTTTGTTGTATATAAACGTAAAATTAGAAGAGAGAATATTAGCACCGATAATAATCATGTATACGATGAGCATTCCCATATTGTTAACGACAATGCAGAGTTGCAGAAGGATGCGGCCAAGGCCACCGAAAGCGTCGTGAACAACGCCGGAATAGGAAGAGGACTTGGAGACACGGGTAAACCTCAGGAGTATGTCAATGGAGGATTCGGTTAGCAGGGCACCAAGAAGAATCATGATGAGGCCCGGAATCAACCCCAACTGTTTAACGGCGGCGGGAAGAGCCATGATGCCGGCGCCGACGACGGTGGTAGAGAGGTTAAAAACGGCACCGGAGAAGGAAGCGCCATCAAAACCTGTTTCGGATTGGAGGGGTTCGAAATAGTCGTGTTTATGAGGGGCAAGAAGAGAGAGGGTTTTAGGGCTGCGGCGACATTTGCGTTCGGAGGTGAGTGGCATTTTCGAAGGGGGGAAGGGGGATACAGAAATTGGCAGGATTTTGGAAATTGAAAGCTGGGGGTGACGGACTCGCCAAGCAGGAATTGGCCTCTTTCGTATAGTGGTGGTCCACAGTCCTGACCCAAACGTCCAGTTGCCTGCCACAGTGACCTCCATGTAATCATATAATTCTCTCTTTTTTAAAAGAAAATATTGAAAATTGACTTCTCTCCATTTCTTATCTTAACCATTGAATCTATTTGTGAATGATTGAGATTTGATATTTTATAAAATTATTATGATCTAATGGTTAAAATGAAAGTGGGGAGGAAATGATGAGGAAAGAAAATGGAGAGAAACTAACTCCAAAATATTGGCAAGAGCTTTGTCATGGTTTAAGTAAATTAATAATAATAATAATAATGCACTTACCTTTCAATTATTTTACAGAAACTGATTTTGAAAATAAAAAATTGACTTAACCTTTAAAATGATAACTAAGCAATATATGATACAAATAACTTACATTTTGTTTTAAATTTTTAAAACGACCTCGTTTGGTTTTTAATAACTAAGCAACTTCTTGATTTTTTCAATATTGCATACCTTCTTTTTGTCGAGACAATACTCGGGAGTACATATTGACTTAAAATTTAACTGCTGTATCAATTACCAATGGAGATGCTAGTATTATTCATATCAAACCCACATCAGCTACATGGTAATGCCTTCGTATGAAATTAAAATTCACAAGATATGTTATTTATAAATGATAAGTAACATGACATATTTTGTAGACTCAAAATAATGAATGCATGAAAATGATTGTATGATGTTGTAAACGTTTGGAGTACAGTTCGAATGGATTTCACTTCCACTCTCATTTCATCAACAAAAGAATATTCCGACCCCCCCCCCCCCCTTTTATTTTGATCAACAGTTTAGGTAATTTTGACTTTTGAACTGATGGACGCCTTCGACCCAACCATACGAGTCATGGTCTTCCAGAAGCACATTCTCATCCCCCCCCCCCCAAACAGAAGCTGGAAAGAACAACAAAGGGAATCCACAATTAATATCAATTGAGGGAACAAAAAGGAATCGAGAAACTATTAGAGTTGGATCTGTACTGTAATTATTAGAGCTTTTGTTATTGTTTGCTTTGCCTCCTCCCGAAAATAGTTCCTAGTTGAGATGTTCCTTGATCTTCACGCTAAGCAAGAGAAAAATCTTCTAGAATAGTAACTATAAATGTAGTTGAGGAACAAGAATAAAGCACGAACCCCGCTTAAGATTCAACACGATGTCTATATCTAATTCTCCCTTGCATTCCAAAGAATCCATTTGGCAAAATAAACAGGTGTGAAAGCCGAAATGTGATACCAAGAGGGTGTGGGAAGTACATAATTATTCTTACAGGATGGTCCACTCCACTGTTAAATCTTTTGCTTTAGTCAACAAAGTTAGTTCTCCCAATTCACCATGTTGCTACTTGCTAACTCAAATCTAGCCCCTCAGAAAAGAACGGGCATGACTTGTAGTTTCATTCATTAGCCAAGTCAATTTTTTCTCTTTCTTTTGGAGCCTCTGATTGGATTGGTCTTGGGATCCTGGTTCAACTGTGGTGCTAGTGACTTCCCCACGGCACCACTCCATAAAGCCCTTTCTACATCTGATGGGGTAAAGGAGTCTCCTTCCCTGCTCAACTCCTGCAAATCATTTCCCTGCCGGATGATTAAAAAAGATAGCCAAGCTTCCCCTAATGAAATATACTTCTGATGACAAATTCAATCGTGCTCGACAAGCATAATCCCTCCACCATCAAAACAAGCATCAAATTTAAATCAAGAGGAAGCAAGATTTGGATATGCAGGGTCGCATCATACAAAGCAGTGCTCGTTTGATCAATATTTCTTTGTTGCCGCTCAGTGAAAAACTAAAAGGAAATGAATTGTTAATCATGTATATCTAGGGCTGGCAGGACAATTCCTCTCTCTCCTTTTGTTTTTTTTTTGGTGAAAATGAGGCCATGGCATGCAAGAAGGAGATTTGCAAGAAAGAATTTCGATACAACAGGGGAAAGGGCAGTTTTGTGGTATTCCAGTGATTTTGTTTTGTTTTGTTTTTTTTTTTTTTGCGGTAATTTACAAGATATTATAGCATAGTGGGATGTGAAAATGGAACCTGAACTTGGCGATTTCAAAAATAATCCACGGAAGCAACTGTGGCAACAGATGATTGAAGAGGCACAGAGTTCGCTCAATGAAAATTTGGGAGATTATATGCATCGGGGTGAAAAATCGTCAACTTTAACAAGACAAAATTACATTGAAAGGTGGATGCATACCTTCGCTTTTGTCTGCACTTTGCTGGCAAACAGTAGATATTGCTTCAGAGAATAATCTTTAGAATTGCCAAGGACTGCCTCCAGAGCCTGCGACGATAAAGAAAGTGAAAGAAAGAAAGCGCAGCGATTGTAAAAGGGTAAAAGAGAACGGTGAATGGAGGGAACCTCATCGGACATGAAAGGGGTGATGTGCGGGGCGAAAGCAGCAAGAATGGCGGAGGCAGTGGCGGGACCAACTCCTTTAAGGACAGTAAGTTCAGAAACAGCTTTGGAGATATCAGGAAGACTCTGAAAGGCCTTCTGAGAAGCGGACTTCACTAAGGACTCGTCCAGGGACGAAACGAAATCCAAGAGACGAGGCCTGAAATACAGGGCATAACTTTAATTGTGAGATAATGAAACGAAGAGGCAGAGTGAAACGGAGGAGGAACAGAGAAAAAGAGGAACCTCCATTTGCCACGGGTGAGCTTCCATTGCATAAGCTTGGAAAGCTCAGAAGCGGTGATGTGAGGGTTAGGGTTTCGTTGGAGAAGGAGAGGAGGGAGTTGGTTGCAGTAGAAATCATCCAGCGAAACCAAATTTGGTTTGTTAAGAGATTGGATTCGAGACTGATAATTGCTCAAAGCTTGTTTCCAAACACTGGGATCCGAGCACTCAAAATCCATCTCGCTCACCTCGGACAGGCAGTTCCTCCAAAATTCCCGTCTACCTTTCTTTCTTCGTATTATAGTAAAATTGTTATTGCGAAGTTTAGAAAATTTTAAATGATCGGCATGAATCTTGTCCTTTTTTATTTTTTGGGTCCTTTTGGGTCGTTTGAGAAGGGATGCAAAATCAGCAAACTTGATTTCCACCGCTTCCCGCCACTCTCTGCAAATTGGTTCAGGAAAAATTTATTCGTATCAATCATTTTATCATCACGATTCATAAGTGATGGTCCATGCAAGCAATCAATGAATTTTACCCTCGCTGCTTCTTTAGGGTCCAATTCCTAGGTATTTCTTTGGCATTCTCAAACACTGGTGGCAGAATATACTGAGATTGGGTTACACATGTAGCCAGCAGTGTTATCCAAATTCCTAAAGTAGCATTGCATGGTCAGGAAGCGCTGCGTGGCAACTCTGTGCCCTGTAGACAATCAAAATCAATTCATTTGCATTTTACTAAATCGTGGCCTTTGATTACGCCCAAGGCCCAACACCAAAAGACCTAGGCCGCCTCAAAGGTTCTAATTTTTAGCCGTGGTTGTGTCATGATCCAATCCAATCCATCAAATTTGGAGTTCTCCCCCATGGCCAGACGTGCAGGCGAATCCCGCTGCCGGACAGATTCGAGTTTGGGAAGGGCCTCACAAATGTTAGACCGCAATGATGTTTACTGAGATTGATTGGTTAAACAGCCAACAGCCCCCTTTGATACTCGACTTGCCTTTTCTTCAATTCTTTTTTTTTCTCTCTTCATTTTCCATCTTAATTTTTGATCAAATTTTAAATAGTTAAGATTCAACATTTTATAAAAATATTTTTTTATTTTTTATAACAATCATGAACCTTGAATTTATAATTTAGATTAATTTTTAAATTTTAAATCCATTTATTTATTTCTAACAATTTTACATTTTAATATTAATTTTATAAAATATTAAATTCTAATCATTTAAAATTTGATCTAATAATTGAGATGGAAACAGGAGAGAAAATAAAAATGAAAGAAATGGAAAAATCCAACTTCACTTCCTCTGACATTGACCCTATTATCTAATCACATCTAGAAATCTCTGAGAAATGCAGGCTTTTATCAAACCAATTGGATGATTGGTTGGGCATGTTTATTTGTTTTTTGCCCTTTCTTTCTATCTTCTAGTTTTCTTTTCTTTTCTTTTTTTCCCGCCCCAGTATCTAGGTGTCTTACTTTGTTTTCCCCATTTCGCTTTGAATTTTTGTATGTTATGGCTTAACTGTTCAGATTACATAGATTTTCATGGAAGGGGAAAAATTAACCTAGTGCTACAGTGCCCAGATGATGAACAGCATATGATTCTCTCTCTGTTTTTTTTTTTTTTTCGGCTGAAGAGCAAAAGAAGAAGAAGAAGAAGAAGTAAAAAGCAGAAGGAGAGAAATATATTATAGTAAGAAGAAGAAGTAAAAATAGGAGAGAAACCTCTTCTTTGTCCTCCCCCTCTTGTTCTTCTCCTTTTCTTTTCAAGATAGAGCCTGTTTGGATTGACACTATAATTGAATTTGAATCCAAATAATTGATTTTTGGAAAAAATTATCCAAACAATTAAAAAAGTTAATAATTAATTATTAAGTCATAATCACATTTTGAAATAAATTTTGAGAAGTTACTTATAGATTCAATTTTATTGTTAAATAATATATTTTACTTCTTAAATAAAGTTTAACAAATTTAATAATATTAAATATAATTTTATCACTAAGTTAACTTTGAAAAGCAATATTTTTTATGATGATTTATATGATTAAAATTAATTTTAATATCCAAACAGATTTAGTTATAACATAATCAATTATAAGTAAAATTAATTATATTAATTAATTATTTTCATAATCAATTACATTCAATTGAAATCCAAACGAACTAATAATTGGATTAAAATTTTAATGATTCTAATTTGATATTTTATTCAACTATAATTATAGTGTTATATTTAAATAAATTTAAATTGTTAAAATTTTGATCCAATGATTATAAAAAGAAAATGAGAAAAGGCGAGAGGAAGGGGAAAGAAGAGGCTCCTATGCCATGGAAAATGTGTGATTAACAGTGATTTGAATTTTGCTGTCAGAGTTAAAAGTACATGTGAAAGTTGTCAAAATTAGGGATATAAAAAATGCCAAAGGAACAAATATCAAGTTCGCGACTACACTTTATTTCGCTCATTTTATCATTTCAAAGATATAATCTACTGTTAATGATTAAAACCGCAATTAGTGCCAGTCATATTATAATCATTGATACAGGATATAACGAAATGCAGACGATATCAGTGCTATATCTATACAAATAGAGAAAATTACAGATAAATAACATATAACAAAATAAATAACTGGCAAATTGTTTGGGTTAAAATATAATTCTCCCAACCCTAACTATTTGGGCAAAAATGGTAATTTCTAAAATAGGATGGTTAATGAGAAAGATTTAGTTAAGCATGCATCGTTTTATAAAAAGCAAAAGCGAATGAAGTTACAGGAGAAACTATAGTCAAAAAAATATCACTTTGTGCTTATCAAAAGTAAAGCTATTACACATGTATGAGCTAGACAACATGTCTTTGAACACTTAAATAACTCAACTCAAAATTCACTTGCTCGCCAAGTGTTAAATTCAAAACATTGGTCTTGTCCCACTCTAAACTCACCTAATGTGATTTGTTTTATTTTTTAACAAATTCAACACAATGCCCTTAACACTCCAAACATTTAGCTATGAGTGATCCAGCAATAAGTTGAGGACTAGTTATTTTTCTTTTAGCTTTTCACCTTATATTTATTGCAATTTTTCTTTTGTCATTATCAATATCATACTAACTCTCATTATGCAAGTTTTACATGTTTTTCTATCTTTATTTATTCATTTTTTTTATCTTTAGGCACTTGTATTTGAAGAAATTGTAGTAAAAAACTTCAGGAACTCACTATTTGATGTAAAAGTCAGGCAAACCACACATTTTGATGACACTTGGTGTGGTCAAGCAAAGCCATCGTGAACACAAGCATTTTAAATCTGACTTATTACTAGTAAGTTTCTTAGAAATGTTGCGCAAATATTACTCACTCCATTTTTATATATAAAATATTTTTTAAAAATTTATTTTATCCTTAAATATAAGAAGTGGCAATTATATTTTTGAGTAATTAGATAATTTTATTCTTGTTTTGAAAAATAAAATAGATCATTAATTATATATTATTTCTACCACCATCATGATATTAATTATGATATTATTAAAGGTAAAACTAAAAAATTATTGTGTTTTTATGTGAGTTTATTTAAATAATAAATATTTATTGATATATGAGATTTGATTAAAAATACTTTATATATAATGATGGAGTAAGTATACAATGAGTTGCAAATTTTAAATTTAACTTGTAAATATTGTAGGAAGACGTAGAAAAAAATTAGTTAAATCTTCAACCAAAGAGTGGAGGAAAAAAAGTATTTTGCAAATTCTCTTGCGGCGTTTACAAAAATCAATCTTAGAAACGGACAAATTACACGTTTTTTGCACAAGTCTCCATGAGACCTATCAGTAATGATTTAAATTTAGGATAGTTTATAGCAATTAATTATGCACTTGCTTAAGAGTTCTACGGTATTTTCTTTTAAAACATAACCTTATAGAAACATTGGCCGCGTGTTAAATAAAAAATGACGATGATTTGTACACCCGAATCATTAAGAATTCAAGAGCGCAAAAACCAAATGCACACGCTTCATGCTCCTCGTTAATTTCATTGAAACTTTTTTTTTTTTTTTGTTGGACCTCGTTCCATGACCGCACACCCACGATTAACACGATTTAAAGAAAAAATTGAAACAGAAATTCACACTATAACTCAATAAGCGTCTCTTTATGATTACTTGAATGCACTACTCGTGACCAGACTTGTACATGCATGATCCATTTACGGATTGTATTGAAGTGATAAATCTTCTAATCAGATTGGATACACGCCAACATCCCCATGGAAATGTGTTTGAACGAGCCATTTCTGTGCTCATTTTCTAACTAAACATACTTTTGTTGTATTAGGAAGCTATTGTGCTCATGATCAACTTCTACTTTTTTGTCAAAAGGCAGCGGATGATTATGAGAATAGGTTTATTGTTGTAACTTGATGACTTTTGTATCCTTATTGGATTAATGCACTCTTTCACATTCCAAACAAAAAAAAAAAATTAACACGCACATTGCATACTACGATGTCCTTTTTCTTTAAGAAAGTTAAGAATAAAATAAAAACATACTCGTATTTACAACAGATGATAACAAGTTTTAAAATTCAAGCAATCAAATCTCAGCTGACAGTTAACGTGTTAATTGGACCGAGGAGTTTTAGGTCCCCCCCCCCCCCAAAAAAAAAAAAGGAAGAAGAAGGGGAGCGAGGAGTGAGCACGAACCGGCTAGAGCTTGGGTGTCACCAATGCGATCTTGACAGAACAGTACTTTCAAAAGGCATTTCCAAATTCTTATGGATAAAGTGTTAAATATGTAAAATAATCGACCGTCCACGTACAATAATCTCCTTGAATAACGCGGTAAGTGTTTAATAATGGTGGGAGAGGATGTTTGCAAAAGGGTCGGGAGAGCTTTTAACAAAAAAGCTCTAGGAAAGAATGGTGGCAGCACGTGGATTTCCTTATATAAGTAAGCAGGGGAGAGTGGAGTGCGAGCAAGATTGGCTCTATAATTGACCATTTACTTCCAATCCATGCCTCAGTGGCTTTCCTTCTTTGTTTCTCAGTCTCGAAATGGTTAGGTCTCCAGTTCGCTCCCTTGTTTCCCCTATTTCTCAGTGACTGAAAATCTCATTACTTTTTGAGCTTCCTCTGTCCTTGTTCATCAGATCAATATCCAATTTATTTATATATATATATATATATATAAATATATATATCTGATAATGTGCACTCATCACGCCACACTCATGTTCCATCTATATATTCCATGTTCAGCTGCTTCTCGTTACTAGCCAGTACGGGCGTCATTAATTAAAACGCATGTATTCATAACTGAGATTTTCAGTCTGGGTTCTCAGATGTGGATAAACCTATTTCAATTTGTTTATCTTAAATATCTCATCCAGATCATATCGACACCTATGGGCCAAAACATATGTATATTTTGTTTTTTTTTTATGACCCAGCCCTTTGATTCTGAAGTATCCACACTCCTGCCTGCCTATCGACATGTCACATGGTCATGCGACAGCCAAACGATAGATATCATCCATAAGAAGCATAATCAATACTTGTTTACGTGTACACTTTCG